GTCTGTGATAGCCCCAAAGGCTCCCACTTCAGTCTTGAAGCACGAGGTAAATTAGGGTATTCTTTGCAGCCATATTTTACAATCATTCTTGTAATCACAACTGTTTCTCTTGCTGCTGGTGGGTGTTGGACTAGGTGATTTAAAGAGGTCCCTTCCAACTCAAACTATTTTGTGATTAATATTCTAAAAGTAATTTCTGAATCCAAGTAACAGCTAAATATTGGCTTCTGAATGTTTGACTGCTTTTAGTAGATTAAAAAAGGTGCTCTGTGTGAAATAATAAGTTTGAGCTGAATTTTGACAAGAGTCCAGCCCTGCCATTGGTATTCTACACCCATTAGGTGCTGTGCTGTGATATTTAAGGAGTCCTTGTTCCTTCAAACAAGCCACAGCTCTTCTGATCTCTCTATGTGTAATAAAGGCAGTAATTTCTTTTAGAAGATGGTATTTCATTCTTGTTCTGTTTCCGTCTTCATTTTGGGGTTGGTTTGGTTTTTTTTAGTGTCACACCTCTACTTCCAAGTTTACTCCAGCAGCCAGCAAGGACCCTCACCTACTGCAGCCTGCGGAAAGGAAAGAGGAAAAGTGTGAAATCTGTGGTCAAAAGGTTCCTCCGGCTGCACAACGGCCTTTGGGTGAGGAGAAAGGTGAGAGTTTTGGGATAATGAGAGCCTGTTCTTTACAGTCAGGGTAAAATGTCATTGTTTTCCTTCTCTTGGAGGGCAGTGGCTGGTGTGGCAGTTAAAAAAAGCTCTGTAGAGAAACTCCCATTTTCCCAAAGTGAGGGATTTATCCACGTTTGCTGAGCAGCATGGCTGTGTTTGTGCACTTGCAGTGCCCTATTAAGAAATGGTTTTTTTGGTGTGTGTTTTCTCCTGACAGTCTGGTTATAAGAAGAAGCTGTGGAAGAAGTCAGCTGCCAGGAAGAAGCGTTTGAGGGAGTTGGTGCTGTGCACCAGGACACAGTGTAAGCTCCTGGATAAAATGACCACCTCCTTCTGGAAAAGGAGGACCTGGTACGTTGATGACCCCTACCAGAAGTACCACGACCGCACAAACCTTCGTGTGTAGAAATCTGGGGTTTGCACATCTCTGGTTGTGTGGCATGCTCTGGGTTTTGGAACATGTATCTGTAATGCCTGTACTTTTTAAAATAAAAATCTGAGCAGAATTATGGGAATCAATGCCCACAATAAAGGAATA